ATCAAAGGTGAGAACTGCGAGTTTGGCCGCACCCGTGTCTTGTACTTGGGTCATGAGATTTCCGCGGAGGGATTGAAGCCCGATGGCGCGAAGGTGGCCAACATTCGTGACTGGCCGCGTCCTCAGTCTGTGACTGAGATGAGGTCTTTCTTAGGGATGATCGACTACTATCGCAACTTCGTGAAGAACCATAGTATAGTTGCCCCCCCCTCGACTTATCTGACCCGCCTTGACACCCCATGGGAGTGGACTGAGAGATGCGAGGCTGCTTTCAGACATCTGAAGCATGTGTTGACGCATTATGAAGTGTTGAAACTTCCTGATCCTGACAAGCCATTTATAGTAACTACGGATGCTAGCCCATATGGCATAGGCACCATACTTGTACAACAGGAGGGGAAAAAGTTGAGGCCAATTGAGTACATGTCCAATAAAATGCCGTCTCAGAAGTTGGCTAAGTCCACCTATGAGAAGGAACTCTATGCGGTTTACAAGGCTCTGACCCATTGGAAGCACTATCTCCTCGGGAGGTTCTTCATCCTCAAGACTGATCATCAGACCCTGAGATGGATGAGAACTCAGCCGGTACTCTCTGACGCTCTCAAACGTTGGATCAAAGTCATTGAACAGTATGACTTTGACCCGCAGTATCTGAAAGGGAGTACAACAAGGTTGCTGATGCCTTGTTGCGTAGATTTGATTTCTCAGGTGCGCTGATTACTGAGTTCGATCTGGCGGACAATGTTACTCAGTCCCTGGTGGAAGCCTATCGCGAGGATCCGTTCATGTCTGAGATCATCCGCAGACTCGAGGCGAAGGACAAAGTGACTTCTGCCGAGTTTGAGTTGGTCAACGGCTTGCTGTTCCTTGAGAAGGCTGGGAATAAACGTTTGTGTATTCCTAATAGGGAGTCTTTGCATAGTTTATTTTTAGGAGAATGTCATGATGCCACTAGACATTTTGGGTTTAAGAAGACTGCAGCCAATCTGTTGCAGCGGTTCTGGTGGCCCACATTGATGAGAGATGCTAAGTTGTACGTGGAGACTTGTCAGGTCTGTCAGAGGGACAAGCCACGTACTCAGGCTCCTCTTGGGCTCCTGAAGGCCCTTCCGATTTCGAAAAGGTCTGGTGAGAGTCTGTCCATGGACTTCATGGATACGCTGGTCACCAGCAAGAGTGGAATGCACTACATCTACGTCATTGTGGATAGGTTTAGTAAGTTTGCTAGGTTAGTTGCAATACCGGCAACAGCTAAGACGGAGTATGTGATTAAAATGTTTAAAGAGAATTGGGTTAGAGATTTTGGATTGCCAAAGTCTATCGTTAGCGACCAGGACGTGCGATTCACCAGTGAATTGTGGAAAGCAGCAGCTGCAGAGCAAGGCACGCAACTGCAGATGACATCAGGCAATCATCCCGAGGCAAACGGGCAGGATGAACAAATGAACCGCGCTGTACAACACCTGCTAAGGCATTACATCAAGCAAAATCAGGTAGATTGGGATGAGAAACTTGCTCTCATCTAGCATTTGTACAATAATGTTGTGCACAGCGCAACCGGAGTCAGTCCTAACAGCTTGCTACTGACCTTCAGACTCCGACTGCCTTTAGACTTTCTACTACCTGACAATCAGCCGACTGCTGCACCAGGGACTCTAGAGTTTGTGTATAGATATGAGCACTTGATGCAGCAGGTTGTTGAGCAGATGCACAAAGCACAGGCGGCGATGATAAGAGTCTGAGAACAAGCACCGCCGCCCATCTACATTCCAGGTAGGGGAAAGAGTCTGGGTCAAGTCCTCCGAACTGGGACAAGAGTACGGGATATCCCGTAAACTCATGCCACAATACTTTGGACCATGGGAGGTATTGGATGTCGTGGGGAATGAACCGGATGGCCCATCTTATGTTATTCGCATCCCTGGTCACTTGCGCACTTACCCTGTCTTTCACGCCTCCAAGCTTGCACCTTCCAAGGAAACAGATCAGTTTCCTTCTCGACGTTCAATGCTGCCCCCAACCATGGATGGAGAGGTGGACATAGACGACATCGTGGATCACAGGGAGCTGCCCGTTCCAAGACAGACAGGCAGGGGACGTCCTCCGAAACCGAAGCTGCGGTACCGAGTTCAGTTCCGACATCCTCTGGATCCAAAGGAGGACCGCTGGTTCACTAGGGAGGAACTCATGCAGACCGCTCCTCAGATCGTATCTCAATATGAAAAATCTCTGCAGAAGGGAAAGCGCCAGATCATCGAAGACTGAACTTCTCAGAGGACTAGCGAAGTTATGGAGGAGGGAATGTGAGGCTTATGCCCCTATGAGCCCCTTTCAGGCCCTGCCAAGTATCACGTCGGCCGCCCTAAGTGAAGGCAGGCACGACGAGGGCCTGAGGGCCCCTATTTCGGTCACCACGCAACTCAAGGAAATTCAGGCAGTTGCGCAGCACCAGTTGGTTGGAAGAACCCACGCCCTGGGCAGCCTGTTTGAATGTATCGAAGGCAAGCCCTGGGCTGGATACAGGATGTGGGCCTAACACAGGCCGTTGACAGTTGGGTGCGAGCAACCACTACAGGCCCAGGGCCTGAGTTGTGTGGACTGGGCCTCAGCCTACCGGGGCCTACCGGAAGCTTCTTGGGAAAGGCCCAGCGCAGCCTGGGACAGCAAGCAGGCAGGCCACTTCCATATAGCAAAGGGCCTGCCTCCGCATTTGGCAATCGGGTGGTGGCTGCATCCTGCGCAAGCGCTGCTGCGCTAATAGCTGGCCAGCGCTCACGCGCTCACGGGCGAGCAGGAAGGAGCAGGYAGCCATAGCCGAGCTGCGCTGCTGTAAGCTGGGTGTGGCGCAGGGTGGTCCTTGGGTGCAAGTGGCATCTGTGTGTTGGGGAACGAGGTTGTGAGTGAGGCGAGAGACATACCTGGTGCTGGAAGCGTGCGACATTGGTCGCTGTATGCTCGTACTTCGGGAAAGCTGTTGACGTCATCTTCGGCATTGTAGTCTAGGCTAGATAGGATCTGCCATCTGTAGTCTGGGCGCCGAGCGCCAGATACTTGGCAGATAGGATATCAACATTGGTTCTTCATTGATGATGATGATGAGACTTTACCAGCATTGTCAATTATGAGCTCTTGGTGTCTTCTTATTTGGTGAAACTCGTGATGCAATTCTGCTGTTGGTTCGAGGTCACAACTATCTGGTCTAGTGTATATGATGCTGTTTGATTGCTGAAGTTCGCTATTGCTCATATTCCTTGCACAAAGTACTTGGAATAATAATACCACTTTTTCAGTACTAGTTGAACGTAAAGTAAGTCAATACCTGCTGATGAAGAAGAAAGAAGAAGAGTTGGAGGAGTTAGAATTTGAAGAAGAAGAGGAAGAAGGAGGAGGAGGAGGAGGATTGGAGAGGTCAACCAGAAGGGGAGGAGGTGGCAGAGAGCAGCCGTGCTGGAGAACTGAGACTCCAGCGGATTGAAGACTTGGACTGGGTGGAAAAGTTTAGGTACCGGATGGAGCTTCCGGAAGAGACCGATGAAGAGAGGGATCGATTTGTGGCAAAGTTGGCAGCAACTAAGGATCAGGAGGAGAAGAACTTGTTGATCCCATGGCACATGCATTGCCGGACTGGACAGTGTCCACATGGGATGCAGCAGAGTGCAGCTTCAAGAGCATGAGCGCCATATTTTTTTTGTATAATTGCCGAAGGTCTTGCCTTTGGCCCATTTTTCGGTTTCAGGGGTACGAGAGGCAGTGCCTTACATGCAGAAGCTCCGATACCAGTGTGACGGAGATCCATGGATATCAGCCACCCCTACCTCATCTTTATCATGGATTTAGGGTTATTTCGTTTTCCGTCCGATTTTCTTTATGTTCCCTTCACTACGTTGAGGATGCTTTGTCACACCATCTCTATACTCTGCATGGTTAACTTTGTGCCTTTCCTCTTTTTGGTCACTCTTTTGGAGAAGACGAAGCAAAAGACGAGTGAATACGAAAGTGAAGGGGGTTGTAGGGTTCAAAAAAAAAAAGAAAAAAAGAGAAAGTACAGATACGAGTTAGAATACCGCACAGCCCAAAAGCTGAGAGAGAGGGAGGTTAGAAGATAAAACCCCACAGGGCTCAAGAAGTTGGCAAGTTCATACGGGTCGCCTGGTATGATCGGGTAGAACTGTGTAGAAACCATTTTTAAGCAATCCCTTAGAAGCCAGCCCCCGACATCTGCTCTCGCGTACAGGTTTATCCGACAGCACCCAGCTGAGAGGAGCTAGGAGCTAGGCGACCCAGAGGATCAGACGGTAGTGATTATAGGCTAACTTAGGCAGGCAGGGGTGAGGGGTGGTACATCCTTCCCTAGGGAAGTAATCAATGCTGTCCACTCGGGCCTCTCAACCATAATGGGGTGGAGCGTGCGCGTATTTTCATTGTATTCAGTCTCGACTTGCCGGGGGAATAGGAGCCGGACTGTTGCTCCCCAGAATGACAGGAGCCAGAACAGAGAGGTTCTGTGAAAAAAAAAAAAAAAAAAAAAAAAAAAAAAAAAAAAAGAGGAAGTCAACAATCTTTTTTCTTCATCACTCTTTCGGAGAAGCACATTTTATGGCCTGATTGATGAGGAAGAACTTAAGAAACAAGAAGAAAAAGAAGACAAACAAAAAGAAGGCGATGAAGCGCACATGTCCGCACCTCTCTCTCTCTCTCTCTCTCT